CAGAAGTTTAAAACTAACAATTTCCAAAGACTCTTTCTCTAGCACAGACCAGAACCTAGCTGTCTTACCTTTTCCCTTCATCAGTAAAGAGAGTGAGTTAGCAAAACCAAGGAATCTGACACAACCACTTGAAGGAAAACAGTTTGTAATACATATACTCATAACAATAGATTTTCCTTTCACCTCTGCCTTCAAAAAGCTAGTCAAAACAAAACTATGACATCATTTGATGACTTCCCACAAGAGTAACGTCAAAACTTTGACAGAGCACTGATGAATCTTCCAGAAAGACCTATAGAGAGCTGAAGTCAGTGAGTGAACTGAAAGTACAGTAGAACCTCCACAGTTTACCCCTTGCCTACACTGACCACTTCAAGTGGACCTGATTTTCAGACTGGACATGCATCACATGTCCGTATCAGTAGAGTAGGCCTAGGTTCCTTATGTTGATTAGTTGGTTACAGTTCCTTGGGTGGTCAACTCACACAGGTTCTACTGTTAGTTTCACATATTTGGATTTTCTTTATGTTTTCTTACAGGCATACATACATGTCTCTAAGCTATTTGAGGAGTATAAAATACTTGCTTACATTACCAACAGCAAAAAGAATTTCAACATAGTAAAAAAGTTTTATCACACTTTAGCAAAATGTTTTAAAAGGGTTAACTGTTACACATTCTGACCCTTTTAAAAAACATGCTTTAATACAAGTAAAAGTTGTAAACAGATTAGAAAATACACTAAAAAAAGAAATGGCCAAAATAAAAAAAAGAACACTTTTATACATAGGATTTTATTTTGCACTGCTTTAACAATTTCATTATAGACCAGGGAGGAAAAAGAAAAAAAGGATAAAACCACCACACTGAGTAAAATTACTAAAGCTTTTCTACTTTTTAACAGGATTTTCCATCTGGTAGATTTATTGTCATACCCCCTTCAAAACATACAAGATGCTTACCACATTTTAAAGATTATAGAGGTTGCCACTGAAAGAAAATTTTACACAGTCACTGTACATCAAGGTTGAAAAACTGTCCTGCATGAAAAATATACTGAGAAATCATGTGAATAAAAGAAAAAGAAAACATTATTGTGTTTAAGGAAAGATTAAAGTCCTCATAATGTGCCATCTAAATGTGGATACTCATTCTTCTTGGAGTCGCTAAGATGTAGGAATTTCTTGCTTCCGCCCTTTTCACTCATTATACTGTGTTTTTCCCAACAGTATCATTAAGGCAAACAAATCCTTTTCTGAAGAGGCCTTAAAGAAATTGTGGACAAATAGCAAACTTTTGGCATTAAAACAGGTTAATAACACATACAAAGCCTTTAGTAATGTACATTAAGCATATTTTTCTTGGACTAGTGACAAGAAAAGATGAACATGCTTGTTAACAATGTCAAAAAGTTTAAAATTCAGTGTCCAAGCAATTTCTAATAATGCTTCTGTAGCTTTAAGCTCTAAACAGTATAGAACTTATGCAAATGCATTAAAGAATTCAAGCTTGGCAAATTACACCCAAGCAGGTTATTAAACTATATATACAGAAAATAAATGATAAATACAGAATTAAAAGATTCCTTCTGCTTTTCTTTATAGCCTTGAAAATTGACAAACTTTCTGAGGACAGTTCTATAATAGTAAACATTAGGTAACCACAGGTGCTGGGAAACCTAACTACACAAACTGATTTGAAATACTCAAGATGACTTTGTAGTGTTTAATACAATCCAGCTCGTAGTTAAGGGCACAAGACAACATTTAACAAAAATAATCACATCCATTGACCTAGAAATCAAATGCAAATAGATATGAATACAATCTCCAAAATCTGTCTTTTAAGTGAACATTAACCATTTATTCAAAGTTATACAAGAATTTAAAGGATTAAAGTCTTCTGTGACATAAAGCCATTTCAAACAGTTTCATGTCTCAGCTGAGCAGGAAGAGAGAGGGTGAACGAGTAGGTGAGCAGGCCCCGTCTGGGCAGCCAGAGTAGCACAGACTCAACAGCAGCCTCCCCCGGCCTGCTGTCCTCCCTGATTGCATGCATGTGTCGCATTAGTAGCAGCATGCTGGGGGCCAATTTTAATGCCATTTGCCTGGAATAAAAGAGGACAGAATAATAAATATAACCGTATAACCAGGACCCCCTCAACAGTACAGTTTAATTAGATTTAAAAAAAAACCCCAAACAAAACTAATTTAACTTTTAATAATACAGTTTTACCAAACTGAGAAAAATATATGAAGTAGATTTTATCAATAATTAAGACACTATCTTTTAGGGGATGTTCCTTCCTTTAAGAAATAACCCTGTGGGAATGTTTCTGAAAATAATTCTTTATACCAGGTACTAGGTAACCAGAAATTAGATAATTCTGCTTCTCAGGGAATTCTCATAACAGAGAAATCATTTAAAACAACTATCACTTTCTGAATCCCTATAATGTGCACACTGTGAGGGTGTATAACACACCCCTGGGTGAGGGGCTCTTTTACAACTGCAACTTTACCCTGGAAGTGAGAACGATGTAATCTAAAAATGTGTACCCTCATATTAATTTGAAATTAAAATAAATAAATAAATAAATAAAACAACTATCACAAGTAATCTTTAAAAGACAAAAATATCCAAAGCCCATGCTGCTCTAATACAGTGTAAAATCTTTTCTCTCGATAGCATTTCTGTTCCATGTTGAATCAGCTGTAGAGGCTAAGGGCATATGAGTGTTCTGTGTCATCAATAATTTCTATGATCCCCAAAGACATGGCAGCTTGCCAAGAACCCACACACAGAGTAGTTCTTTCATTCATCAAACTCACACTTATGTCTTAACCTTCACTCCCTCAAGTGGATTTTACCTAAAAATACAACACTTTGAGAAAAGTAATACAGTAGCTTCAGAAATTAAGCTCTTAAGGAAACTTCACGTCACAGTAAATCTCAGATTTATAGTGCTTGGCAGTTGTTCTGCAACAGTAGTAGCCTTGGGGTTTCTGGCACTAGCTCAGTATTGACAGCAGCTGATGTGGTTTCTTTTCGCTCTTTTGACTCCTCTTTAATAAAAAGCATGCCCTATGGCTCATTGGTTTTGCCCCCTCTGGGCTGGTAGCAACTTCTTGAGGAATCAACCAGTCAGACTTGGCATTAGGCCAAATAAATGGCATGGCCTGTTAGCTCCTGACAGCACATTACAATCAAAGCTGCATAAGGCCCAGTAAAGCATTCAGCTACTATATGAAACCAGACAGAAACAGTGAACATGCCCTTTAAACAAAGGCCCAATTACTCTTCAATTTATATGGCATTAGTCTCTGAATGGTGTCACCTGTAAATTAACTCAAAAAGTACTACCATATAAGCCTAGAAGATAGGACTTAGAAACTGTTATCACTCAAAATTAAAAGGAGAAAATCAAGTACTTTTTGGAAACCTTAAGCAAATTGTTTTAGCAGAGACTACCTGAGATGAATAAAAGAAAGCCTCATTTATGTACAGGCCAAGAGACATATCTGCAGTGGCTTCTCTTAACACAAAGGTTTTCTAATTGCAACTGGTGGAGAAACCAGGCCTTTTCTTTTAGAAGCCAGAAGTCTTAATACAGAATGGCAAAAGAGCTTATATCCTCCAAAGCTTTACATTTTATCTTAAGTATGCTGACCCAACAGGCTCAAAGTAACTTTATAAAAAAGCCAGTGCCAAATGCTGATTATATATAGTAATTTAGCCTCCTGAAACCATGCTATGCTATATTGTGTATAATTTCCAAATTGAGTATTTCCTTCTTTTATACAGAGAGAGAGCATTTTGCATTAGTACATGCATTTACACATGAGAACATTAGTTCCCAAAGCAGATGACACCATATGGACATGTGGATAAAAGTGGATTTTCTTTTGTTTTGGATTTATATTATTTTACACTGCTTGCAATAAATGGATAGGGCCTCTTACTTTTACCCATTTCATAGAGATGTGTTACTAGATCATAAATATTATACTATATATACCAAGTTCTGTTATATGATTATAAACTAATGTTAACTGATTATTATGGATTCATTTTAAGAATTTAAAAAACATTGAGTTTTAATACTAATTAAAAAGTCAACGCTAAGTTATTATTAGCCATTAATATTTCTATGTATATACCTCATTATTAATGTCAAAGACTCCTTCTTGGATTTTTTCATAAATTTCTTTTGCTGTATTTATAAATGCCTGAAATACAAAGTAGAGAAAGAAGTTCATGTTATTTAGAATGACAGTAAAAAAAATTATATAAAAGCTCTATAGATTATAACATTCAATATAAAAAACAACTGATGCAATACATCCCGTTAACAGAGAACAAAATCTATCACATACATAATCACCTCAACAAATATGGAAAAAGCACCTGATGAAATACAACATTTCATGATAAAGACACTCAACGGAGTAGAAATAGAAGGAAAGTTCCCCAGCCTGATCTAAGAAAAACCACACCCACTGTCAAAAATCAATGGCGAAGACTAAGGTTAGGGCATATGTGAATGCTCATTAGCATTGTTAGCGACATTATGCACAATAGCCAGAAACTGCAAACATCACAAATGTTTATCAATGAATGGAACCCCAAATCTGGAATACTAATTAATAGAGTATTATTCAGCCATAAAAAGGAATGAAGTACTGATACATGATGTTACAATATGGATGAACCTTGAAAACATTATGCAAAGTGAGAGAACGAATGAAGGCTGACACAAAAGACTACCATACAGTACAGCTCCACTTTAGGAAAAGTCCAGAACAGGCAAATCCATAGAGACAAAGTAGATTATTCATTACTGGGGGTTAGGTGGAGGGGGAACATGGGGAGTGACTGCTAATGAGTATGAGATTCTGGGGTGATGAAAATGTTCTAGAATTAGATAGTGATGAATGGTTGCACAGTTTTGTGAATAAACTAAACACCACTGATTTGTACACTTATTTAAGAGTAAATGTTAAGGTATACAAATTATACCTCAAAAGAAAAAATCATGATGGAGGGCAAAAGGAATGTTATAATATGGAACAGCACATATGAACAAAACATGCCAACTACATAAACTGTTTAATTCTGTTAAAACTAGCTTTTGGAGGACACTGTCCCACATGGGGCCCATTATAATGTATTACTTAACATGTAGTTCAAGAGGGAAAGAACCAAAGCATGCTTATAATAAAGAGATAAAAGGTAGCTTGACTTTTTTGCCATGTTGAATTTTAACCCTTTTTCCATATAGGGTGAAACTACTAAACTGGCAAAAAATTAAGAGTTAGAATACTGTAGACCAAATTAAATGCCAAAACTTATCCACAAGTATTCTATATATGTGTAAAATATTAAGATATTTTATATAAATACTACCAATGTTACAAAAAGCATATGTAAACTCTTACAGTTTCTATTATCAGATTTAAGAGAACATAGATAACAGTACTAATATTATAAAAAAGGACATCTTCAATTAGCTTTTCATGAGACTTCATAAAAGAAAGCTATTCTCCACTAACACTGGTACAGATCTAATTCAAATTTTAAGAAGTAAATAGAATTCATGGAGAGAAACAAATCATACCTTTCCTCTTTTCTACACTGGAAACATTTGACTGCTGAACCTGCCATCAGAGCTTTTGTTTCCTAATTAACAGGACTGATATGTTTTCACCTTTAAAGGCCTTACAGCTCCCCAGAGTAATCAATCTACTGCAGCTCAATTACTGCACCAAGCACACACCAGTCAATGAAGGAGATTTGAATGTCTGCGGCAGGAGCACAGAGATATGAATATGCATAAACTCTAAGTGGCTGATCGAATCATCACAGAGGGTCATGAGAATATGCAGCAAAATAATGAGAAGAATTAATCACTGCAGATTCACAAGGCACTTAGGACTCGAGTGTGCTTTTCATGTGTGTGCTAGAGTTAAAATGAAAGAGACATTGGCGTTTGGCCAACTATGAATTGATTCACACTCTTCAAAATTGAAGTTATCCCTATAAATAAGGAAAAACTCAACTTTATTTCTAATAACATGTCAATTACTGTGATGGCTTTAGAAACCTGGCTAACTAAACACTGAAGTCAAGAGATAGATAAATTCACAAGGTCAGAATCCCTTCTAGGGTCATCCTTGAATGCACATTTCTGGAACTACAAGGTCCCATAAATGAATTACAACTTCATATAAATAAGCACTTGTGTATTAACAAAAGTTATTAAATTTACCAATTTATGTGAATAAACTGCCCTTTTGCCAATCTGTTAACAAATCATGTTAAAAACTGGCTTAAGAAAGCTATGCTATATAAAATTTCACAAGTCACTATTAATTTTATTACCTAATTAATACTTAACACCTTATGAAGCATCTTTAAGTATGGTTGTACCAGATGGACTTAAGATGTACAGTGATTTATATCCAAATGGCATGCAATTACTTTCATTACAGCTGAAATATAACAATGGTTATTTTTTTTCATTATAATTTCCATCCGTTGAAGTAGTTTTTGGACAATGCTACATTTACCTGATCACCCAACTCCTCATTAAAGACATTAAAATATTTTCTACCCCTCTGAGCATATTATAAAGGATATTATATAAATGGATTATTTTATATACTTCATAACAAAAAATATTTAATATTACTAAGTGATTAATGACTAATTTTAATGAGTCCTTCTAAGGACTTCTCTAGTTTGAAGCCCAAAATGAACAAATGTAGACATTAGTACACCTGTTTTCAAAGTGTGTGGCTATGGCTGGTCACAGTATCTCATGCCTATAATCCTAGCACTTTAGGAGGCCAAGGTAGGACTGCTGGAGGCCAGGAGTTTAAGACTAAGACAGAGAAGACTCTGTCTCTACTTAAAATAGAAAAATCAGCTGGGTGTCGTGGCATATGCCTGTAGTTTCAGCTACTTGGGAGGCTGAGGCAGGAGCACTGCACGAGCTCAGAAGTTTCAGGGTGCAGTGAACTGAAACTGTGATGCAGTAAACTACCCTAGGCAACAGAATAAGATCTTGTCTCAAAACACAAAACAAAAAACTGAACTCTAATAATTTCATTTGTTTCAATGATTTCATTGTTTGCATTATGAAATCAAGAAGACTAGGCAGACCCATGATTATGGAGTATGTAAATAGATTTCTCTGCAGCTGAATGACTCTGGTGACCTTCTTGCTTTTCCATGTGGCTAGTAACCCCTTCCAGTATCAGAGCCCTGCCTTGCTCTTCATTCTACCACTAGCACATCCCTTATCATCATGCTTGATTAATTGCCTTGTTCAGTCCTTTGCCTCAATTTTCTTCATTACCCATTAATTCTCTTGCCTTCTACCTCAGACACTAATCTTTCAAACCTTTGGCAGCAGTTATCTTAATGATACCGATAATACCTATTAACTTCAGGGAAATTTTCAGGGACTTCCATAGCACAAATTAAAAAAAAAAAAACATAACCTTAGAAAACTACAAATGTATTATAAATCAAATAAACATTGAACAAATACACATGCTGATATATCTTACTTATCATTGACATTTATCAAAGGGCATCTATTAAATTGCTACCACGTATTCAGAACTTTCCCACGTACACCATGGAAGAGACTAGAACCATCTGGGAAAACCTAAGCACAAGGGCTCAAATCTCTATTAAGGATGGAGGTAAAGAAATTGTCTGTGCTGATGAGAAGAATACAAGGGAGGACTGAGGCAGGTCTCGCTACGCCACAAACAATGTGCTAACACAACAGGGCCTTTACAACTGGTGAGGGAGAGAAAGGGAAGGCGAATATGGAATTCCATTCTATTTTTATTATGACTGAACAGTTTAAAGGCAAAATATTGAAAATAAAATCTATTTTTAACCAACATTTAAATTACTTCCTTACGTAACATACTGCCACCTGGTGGCAAGATAAAAATTAAGGCATCTGTTAAGTAAAACTTCAAAATAACAAATCAAATGAAGTATCCTGGATGGACATAGAGGGAAGTATCTTGTAAAATGATAACCAGTATCTACAAAGTACTTATTATGGGGCAGTCCCTATACTATGATTTACATTGTTTTTCCTTTTCTTTTATGGACTCTTGTGGTTTGGAAGGTTTAAATCATCTCTTAAAAGAAATTCAAAGTATATATAAAAATAGCAAATTTAATATTAATTTTCTTTTACCTGCTTTCAAGAAAATCTATGTTGGTGGAATGAAGTTATACCTTGGAATGGCTAAGGGCTCTAGAACCAGACTTTCTAGGTTCAAACCCTAGGGCCACCTCATTGTAGTTGTGTTGCTTTGCAGCCAGTATTTAATCTCCCTGCAAAATGGAATGGCATTTACATCATAGGGTTATTGAAAGGATTAACATTAAAAAGCACTGGGGGTGGCGCCTGTGGTTCACTGAGTAGGGCCCTGGTCCCATATACCGAGGGTGGTAGGTTCAAACCCAGCTCCGGCCAAACTGCAACAAAGAATAACTGGGCGCTGTGATGGGTGCCTGTAGTCCCAGCTATTCCAGAGGCTGAGGCAAGAGAACTGCCTAAGCCCAAGGGTTGGAGGTTGCTGTGAGCTGTGATGCCACGGCACTCTACCGAGGGTGACAAAGTAAGACTGTCTCTAAAAAAAAAAAAAAAAAAATTAAAAAGCACTGGAAACACTGGCTTACAGGTACTAAGTACTCAATATATGTCAGTGTTGTCACTGGTCACCGACATCTGAGTGCAATGCCATATGGGGAACAAAAGGAGCAGGAAGGGGTCTAAGTGCCGAATGTGAATGTGCCCTATGAACACTGCAGAGTGTAGCAGAGATCAGAGATCAATGTTCTTCATTTAGTCTGTCCGAATATCCTGATTAAATAAAATGAATAAGTTAACTGAATTAGCAACATACACTGTGTACAAGTAGCCCTAAAGAATAAAGCATATTATGCAAAGATGGGAATGTCCTGTGAAAAGAACAGTAGACTAGTTGGGGAAATCTAAGCATATGGCCTCAGATAATAGATCTAAGCTATGCCATGTGTAGTTAGGAGTTTAAATGAGAAAACCCTTCAAATTTTGTGACTTTACAATGCTCTGAATTCTATCTGACGAAAGTGGAAGAAAACTCATACATCATCCAACACACTGGCCTTCAGATCCTGTTTCAAGGCAATTCTGCAGGGGTTGTCTTTTGAG